GACCTTTGCACTCGGAACTTCTTTGGCCTGGGGGAACCACTGTGCCTCCATTCCTTAGACTGTTCCTTTGTCTCAGGATCATAACAGTAGATCCATGTCTCATCACCAGTTACCACTTTGCCCAGGAAATCTGACTCATTTCTTGCAAAATGTTCCAAAACAGCCATCGATGACTCCACATGCTTCCTCTTTTGTTCGGTTGTCAAAAGTTTGGGGATCCACTTTGCTGCCAGCTTTCTCATTTCCAAGTCATTGTGGATAATGGCACCAACTCTCTCACGTGATATTCTCAGATATATAGCAATACTTTTGGCTGATATTTAGCGGTCCTCCATGATCATGTTATGGATGGCTTTCACATTTGCAGGCACAGAGACAGAAACAGGCTTTCCACTGGGTTTCTCACTTTCAACACCGAAATGGCCAGTTTTAAAATTGACAACCCAACGTTTAACTGTTGCATATGAAGGGCCACTGTCACCCATAGTTTGTGACATTTCATCATGGATCTGCTTTGCACCTTTCCCTTGGAGAAACAGGAACTTGATTATGGTCCTATGCTCTTCCACATTGAAGTTTTCTGAAGGTGCTGCCATGTTCACTTTGGATCTGAACATGAAATATAAGTTAAAATCATAGGTAGTTGGTTTTTGCACAATTGAATACAAACAAATTGGCCAATGCACCCTGCAATTTATAGCTTCCTAGCTCAATTTTTTTCTGGGAAGGGCTCAGTACTTTTCAGCACACACACACACACGTATAAGGTTGTTTTCTGCTGCTAGAGAATAGGTCCTGAATGAATAAATTTTGTTACATTCTATAAATTCCTGTTCTGTTTTGAAGTGACAGCTGGCTTAATTACTTTGAGTGGAGGATAGTCTTAATATATCAATGTCTTCTCAGTTTTGTCTCAGCTTATATTAGTTGAAGGTGTGAAGCATATAGAATGCAATTAAAGAATTCTGATTATTTCTCCTTGATGGGGATTTCTTTATTATGAGTATTTTGTATTCTGATGGAGAGGCAGGGTGCAATTGATGGAATATTGAACTATGACTTGGCCATGGAAACTCATTGGGAGTTTGTATCTATGTTAGCCACTCTGAACATCTTACATTCCTCAAAAACCCAATCAGAGCTGCAGTAAATTGGAAATGACCTGATAGCATATAACAATGGTATTCATGCCATTTTAAATGCAAGTGCGCGCCACCACGTCCCTATCTGAACATCTTATGTTCCTCAAGAACCCAATCAGAGCTGCAGTAAATTGCAAATGACCTGATAGCATATAACAGTGGTATTCATGCCATTTTAAATGCAAGTGCATATTCTTGTTTTTCTAGCTTTTGCGTTTCCTGCAAGAATTCTCCCAGCAAACTTTAGCCAGGACACATGAAATCAAGAAGCAAATGGACAGATTGGTCCATGAAACAAAAACTACAGATTGCCGCCTGCACAATGTCTTCAGTGGCTTCCTCATGCTTTCAAATACACAGTTCATTGAAAATGTGAGTGTGGTCTGTTTGTATGTTAGGCTGAGAACTAAGATACTTTGATGACAGATCCCTGCTGGGCTGTGAAAAGGCAACATATAAGAAACAGCATTTGATAAACACCATCAGTGTCATTATATTCTTTGTATGCCTGTGTCTTGTGTCTCTGGCTGAAATCCAACAGTAAATTGCAACTAGGATAGCCCTGTTGAATCAGTGGAACTTATGGAGGAGTTGACTCACCAAATTGCCACTGATTTAGTGGGCCTACCTAGTGTGATTTACTACACTAAGCAACTGGGTTTCAGCCAATGAGTTTTATTAATGTAGATATATAATTGTCTTTTCACAGGTTTTACACTACATGTTGTAAAGTAGTTTATTGCTATCTGAGGCTATATTAAAATATATGCAGAATCGGGAATGTTTGATTTTGTGGGACAATATTACTCAAATTTCACTACAGCCTAAGTGGTTTTATTCATTTGTGGGAGAATTGACACCTGGCCCTTCACTATTTCAATTCTAGGGTGTCCCTATAACTTTTGCCGTATGTAATTTGTGGTTCAATTTTTGTGTTGCTTTGTCAATACTGGGTCACATCCTGGCATGACCAAGGAAGAGGGGAGATTGATTCAAAATTAACTGGACCTACCTGAGATATGAAATGAGTGTACCTTCTCCATTGCTTTTCCATTCAGTGATAAATAATAATAAGAAAAAACCTATTTCATAGGGCTTATAGCCCTGTGGTCTACTTAGGAAACAAGAGTTAGTTCCAGCAATAAAGTGCCATTGACAATGCATTCATAAGCAGGAGAGTTGAAAAGTACGTAGCAGAATATGTGCAGCTAATCTAATGCGGGTAATGAGAAGACAGAGTCAGCCATAAAATTTGGAAAACAGGATGGCAGGATTTTTGTGGTGGAACAATGGGTTGATGAATTCAGTGTACCTGTGTCAGAGAAGAGTGAAATGCTGTCAGCAGGCACCTGCAAACACTGTGGAACAGCGTGGTGTTTTGCTTTACTTTTCTTCCTTCGATTTGAAGAGTGTGGGGAGGGGATCCAGAAAGAGTATCCTCTTTATCTCTGACCTGTGGTAGAAAACAGTAAGAATTTCCTGTATACTAGCCTCCAAATGTGGGGCTTGAAGGAGGAGCTTGTCCAGTAGCCTCTATAGGCCAGAAGGAGAACTTCTGTGAGCTAGTTTATAACCACTGATAAAGATTGGGGCTGTGGAAAGAAAAGCTGTGAGAAGGTGAAATCTCCAGATCATCTCATCTGCATTCTCCTTTAGCTCTTTAAATTATATCTGATTGCATCCCATTTGTATCTGATTGTGGAGAAAACAGATGTAAACATTCTGAAGTGTCAGTCATGTTTAATTTAGCACAAACTGTTTTAACCCTTCTGTTTAAAATTATTATTGATACAAATAGTGTGATGCTTGGTTTGCTTGTGAACAATCTCTGTATCTCATGGCTTAATTCAAAATTTAATTAAAAGTTAATCAAAAATGTGTGCTTAAATTGATAGAGAGTATATGATGATGAAGTAGAAGAACCCATACCTAGGAATGAAGCTGGAGACAAACTAGAACAGGCAAGTGATCATACAATAAAATTACATGTTAGTAACTGGCATACCCTTTCTCTCTGATTTTGATGCCACCATTCCTTTTGTCTTGCCACCTGACCACTTAGAAATAAATGTGTTTTCTTTAATAATTTTCAGTTATTTCCTTTCTTCATTTGTTTCTGTAAAGGATCCCTGGGTTCAGGGAGGCCCACGCTAACCACTTAGCCATGCTACTCCAGTTGCCCTGGCATGAGTGAACCTAGGAGGGTCATATGTGCAGAGGGCTGGGGGAATATTCCTGCCTGAACATGTCCCAACACTTTAGTCTAACTGAACTAAGCAGTGCTTCCAGGGGTTCCAAAAAATCCACAAGGTTAAGTGTTTTGATGCTTACCTCAACCCTGGAAGGTAGAAATGCCACCACACTCATAAAGCATACAGGTTCCGAGTAGATGGTCAAGTCCAGGGCTAGTTTAATCAAAGCATTCTCTAGAGCACTGGTTCTTAACCTACTAGTTTAATCAAAGCATTCTCTAGAGTCTACTTAGTAAAATAGATAAGAGTGAGTGCACAGTGACCAGAATCTTGTTGGTAATTTACACATATGTTCTGTTAAATTGCACAGCTTACCATAACAAATTGGTGCTAATTAGTGAGGTGCTGCTTACAATACTTGATGCATGCCTGATGCTCACCTTATAATGTGACTGCTGCCTTGTTGTTACACAATTTTAAGTTATGCATACATCACTCAGTAAGATTCAGTGTACTGTGCTTGAGAATAGTGGGTATAGTGATTAACTATGGAATATAATGCTTTTGGTTCCAAAGGAGAAAACCCGTGAACAGAAAGAAGCTGATTTGATTCCTAAAATCCAAGAAGCAGTGAATTATGGTCTACAGGTACTGGACAGTGCTTTTGAACAGCTGGACATCAAAGCAGGGAACTCAGACTCTGAAGAAGAAACTACTGAAAGAGTGGAGCTAATATTGGAACCTAAGGTAATAGAAGTCATCTGGTAGTGAGCAGAATTATCTTCTCGAATTCACTAAGGAGATACAGTGTTGCGTAATGGATAGAGTTAGATGGGTGGGATCTATGTCAAAGTCAGTAGTACCTCGGTTTACAAAATTAATATGTTTCTGGAATGTTACGTAATGCCGAAAATTCATAAACCGAGACATGGATTGCCATAGGAACGGGGGTGTCGCTACAAGCCTCCAGGCACAATGCATCCAGGGGAAACTTTCTTTGCAAACCAAAAACAACTGGGCAAAAATGTAAACCGAGGCATTATTTTCAACAGATTTGTTTGTAAACAGAAAAATTACATAAACCAAGGCGTTCGTAAATCAAGGTACTACTGTACTGTATAAAGGGATTCCAAAACTTGGAACAGCTGACACCTTCTCACAGTCATTTTTTGTCTTCCTAATTCTTTGCTTGTATTTACTTTTTGCAAGTTTGTTTTTGTTTTCCATGTTTAGGCAAGACTTCTGTTTCTCAAGGAAACCTTGTTTCCTCCAGTAGTTTCCATGACACAGCTTGCTAACATGGCTGGTGACCTTGTGAGCTTTGTGCCTCATCACCAGTGCATATCTGTAGGTGATCACAGAACAAAAGGAAGGCTAATGATGTGGGTGATCACAAAACAATAGGAAGGCAATTAACTTTAGAGAGGTTGCAAAGAAATCGACCACAGATGTCCAAGCCAGCAGAGCTTAAAGGCACACCTTGAGAACTCTTTTTATTAACTTAGCGTGATTACACAGAATGTTGTGAAAATTCAGATAGGATACTGGTTACCTAATTGCCACTAAGATTGGCCGGAGAAAGCCTTTGAACTTATGATCTAGCGTTAAGGGAAAAGGCAGAATGAGAGGTCACCCTGCCCGTCAAGAGCCATTGCTCTCTGCCAGGAGAGTTTGTTCTTCATTGTAACAGATAACAACTAACAGCCTTGGGCAGAAGCTTCCCACACATATCCTAAGTAAGTTTTTGTTACTATGTTATTGTAACCTCTCAAGTATTCTGGAGAGATTAGACTATCTTGCCTTGCCCTATATTCTTCCTTTTTAACAGTTCCCTCACTGTAAGAGAAAATACTCTGAAGTTAAATGTGTTGATTGTGTTGGATTTCCTTGTAGACAGTTACATATGAATGTAATTTATACTGTGGTCATTGTTTCCAAATAGTTCAACAACACTTGCATCTCATACAAAGACCTGGGCACCCTTTAGATTGACTACTAGGTCAACTAACTTCAGATCTATTTCATGCCCCCTTCACATTTGCAGGCTGCATATTGGCTGTCAGTTAAGACTTGAAGAGAGGGATAATCTCCAGAAGAAGCTTGGAGATAAAGGGTCATATTCAGTCCCTTCAATGCTGGGGCAGGTCTTATGTCTGGAATATATAGATGATTCTGCCAGTCATCTATAGAGCTGCATTTCTTTTTGTGGACTATGTCTTTGTTTTAACTTTAAAGAACTAGTAATGCCACAATATCTATTATAGAGGAATTGAATCATACCGGCTTTGAGCCTGTGCTACCCATAATTACATATTGGCCAAAATCCCATTGCGTACTGTAGTAAATGATACTAGAGTAGGACAATTAAAATGTGTCAGTTCCTCTGTAAATCTCATTAATTCAGATGGGCTTACTGTAACTATGATGTATACTTTAGCACAGTAAATTACAGAGTGGGGCCCTTTTTATCAATGGACTTTATGGAGCTGTTGACTCGCTAAATCCCCATTGATTCAATAGGCCTGCCCTAGTGCAGTTTACTGTGCTAAACAAAAAGGTTTTGACCCCTATGGTGTTTTTTTTTGGGGGGGGGGTTACATCATCCTGCCATTTTAACTCAAAAAGCCATTTTTGTAAGGAAGATTACACACATGAAAAGTTACCAGGAAGAATAAAAATGTATTAAATGGTTGCAGTAGGGCTGGCATATATGTGTATTTGTTTCTTTTGCTGGTAAGTGGAAGTTCCTGTCAACTCCTAAAACATGCAAATACCAATCTGACTGCAAAATCTCTGCCCATTCAACTGTGATTTAACTCAAAAAGCCATTTTTGTAAGGAAGATTACACACATGAAAAGTTACCAGGAAGAATAAAAATGTATTAAATGGTTGCAGTAGGGCTGGCATATATGTGTATTTGTTTCTTTTGCTGGTAAGTGGAAGTTCCTGTCAACTCCTAAAACATGCAAATACCAATCTGACTGCAAAATCTCTGCCCATTCAACTGTGATTTATGAGTGCAGTAAGGCTAATCCAAAGTTTAGCAGAAAATATACCTCAATCCTAAAGGATTTTCACCACGTCAGTGGGTTTTGGTTGTTGCAATAATAAACTTTTTTTGTTTTTAGAATTAATAATTTTATTATTGTCCACTGTAGAAGTCTTACTTCATATTTCAGGCAAGGTTTAATTCAGAAGCAATGTTTTACAAGGATTCTATCTCCCTGAGAAGGTATCCCATTCCACAATCTCCCAATTTTTAGTGTGTATCTGTAAGAAGTTTCTTGGACAGTGTTGAGATTTTGTTGGTGAACAGTTACCCTGCTGCTTAACGATCTTCCTATCTGAGCTTGCCAGAGTGGTCTTGTGAATGGTTCTGGAGCCCTTCTGGTCATGTTAGGACATTTCAGCATAGGTAGTTTGGATATCCTGGGCCATGACTTCACAGTTTCAGTGGCAAATGTGGATCTGTCTGAAATGGTATTTCACTCTGCAGATTTAATGAGGCAAACTTTTGCATCTGGTTTTCTGTGTTGTGTGATCTGGAAGTAGAGGAGCTGTTTATGGTTCTGCTGCTGTGGACTGCTGTCTGATGATGTTCAGACTAACTGAGACTCAAAGCATCTGTGAGGATGGAAAACTGATGAATACAATATGTTCTGGAAAGCTGATGAATTCAGATAGTTTTCTGAATGCTTTTGAACATGTTCCTATCAACTTTTCAAGTTTTCTGTTGTAGCCCTGAAAAGGGGAATTCACTGAGGTAGTTGCTGTAATTGGTTTTAGAGTGTCTTTCCCTATTAAACAGAGCCAAACAGCTAGAAAAATCATATTTAAACATGAATGTGTATGTTTGGATTTGAATGATTGTTTCAGCCTGCATTTCCCCAATTTCTTCTAGCTATTTGTATATGCTGTACAGTGGTGCCCCACATAGCGACGATACTCCATGCAGCAAAAATCGTCACTATACGGATTCGTCGCTATGTGGAAAAAAAAGCCCATAGGAATGCATTAAAACCCATTTAATGCATTCCTATGGGCAAAAAACTCACCTTAAAGCGAAAATCCTCCATACAGCGGCCATTTTCGCTGCCTGGTAAGCAAGGAATCTGGGCAAAAACACAGCGGGCAGCCATTTTATTTACCCAGCGGCCATTTTGGAACCGCCGATCAGCTGTTCTAAAAACATCGCTATGCGAAAATCGGTAAGCGAAACAGCTTACCGATCATCACAAAGCGATTTTTTATCATTTAAATCATCGCAACCCGATCGCTTTTGCAATCGTAAAAACCAAATCGCTATGTGGATTCATCGTTAACCAGGGCTCTCGTTAAGTGAGGCACCACTGTACTTCATTCCCACATTCAGCAAGCTCATATGTGTGTTGCAAATAAGGACACATGGCAATGAGTTAAAAGGAGGATCTCACTGAAATATCAGCTGTATTTGGCCACCTGATCCTAATTTTGACTCTACACTGGTTATCAGTTGAATAGTAAATTACAAACCTGGAAAGCAGGGGCTGCCGTCAAGACAGAGGATTGTGCAAATTGTCCAGTGCTCTTGGAAATATGAAGTTATCTCTTTGATGTAAACATCAGAAATGTTAAAAAAAATCATTTCTTTTTTACAGGATCTTTACATTGATCGGCCTTTGCCATATTTGATTGGCTCCCACCTCTTCATGGAGCAAGATGATGTTGGGCTTGGCGATCTCTCTAGTGAAGGTGTGTGATTCCTATCCATTAGTAGAGGCAGATTTATTTTCATGACCAGTGGTGGACTTGTTGCTGCATACATTGATACAGGCAGTGGCAACGTGGTGCTCTTCAAATGTTTTAGATTGCCATTTATTCCCTTTACTCATACAGTCTAGATCTCTCTCTCTCGTCCCCCCTCCCACTAAGCTTTTTTTTTGCCTCTCTGACTATGTCTTCACCTGCTGGGGATGCTTGTTGTTGCTGTTCTTCTCCACTGCTGGTCAGCAACACAGTGTAGGCACTGGAGAAATTAATGTGTTGGTTTCTGAGGAGCAATTATGGCTAAGGCTGGATTCCATTTCCCATTTATCAAAAGCTAATTCTGTATCCCCTTCAGTTCAAGGAGACTCCAGTATACTAATTTATGGGGAACAAGGAAAGCAGGCCTACCAATGTTAAGTCTTCCTTGTTTCTTCATCTGCATTTAATTACAAAACTTGGGAGATGTTTTGGGACTCTGTGGGCACATAAAGATTTTCCTGCAAGTTGAAGCTGTTCTTGGCCTCTGAAAATGGTCAGGATGATGAAGACAATTGATCCTAAGCATTTCCTCTCAAGAAGGGGAACCAAACTAGCCTCAGTTTATTAGGAAACTGGTGGTGATGAAATGAGTGGGTTGAAAGCTAGAGTGGGGATGGCAGAAAACTCGGAATAGGTCCAGCTATGCACAGACTAAAGCCTAATGAATCATAGAATCGTGAAGTTGGGCCTATAAGGCCATCAAGTCCAACCCCCTGCTCAGTGCAGGAAGGTCTTCTCCATGACTATTGCCAGAGAAATCATTCTTCTCTGCTACTGTTGATCTGTGCAGTGTCATCCACTGGAGTAGTTAAAAGCCTGTTATGCTGTGGCCCATGAAAATAGAATGTGGGCCATTTAGCAACTCACTGTGAAGAATTTCCATGACACTGTGTACAAAATTACTTGGATTCACTTTGATTTGGATGCTACAGTTCACACAGGTCCCGTGCATGTAACTTTGACCCTTGCATGTCCCATGATGATGCATTTTAGTTTGTGCAGCATGAGATTGTGGACAGGGTGTTTGGGCAGCAGAGACCTACCATGTGTGTGCTAGGACCTTGTTTTTTCTCACTCATAGAACTCACCAAAGTGGGTGGCTAAGAGGGTAGTGGTGAACAGCTTTTTACAGCAAGGCATGCATTCCAAAAAGGCAGTGGTTAGTCCCTTATTGAAAAAAGCCTTTTCAGAACCACATCATACTAGATAGTTATTGCTCAGGCTTCAGTGTACCGTTCTTGGGTACATATAGTGGCTTCTCAACTTTAGGAGTTCCTGGATGTGATGGATTTATCTATGTCTATTCAGATCTAGTTGGATAACTAACTAATATGGTAGAGACAGCTTTGTTTGCCTTTGTGGATTCCCTACTCCAGGAGCTGGATGGGGAATTGCACCCTGCTGGTTGTGCTGGACCCCTTGGCAGCTTTTGATACTATTGACAATGGTATCTTGGTCTAAATCCAAAAAAAGCTGTTTCAGTGCTAACCTGGTATCTGACTTCAGTAATGTGCTCAGTGAGAGTGAACAAACTAAAAGATAATATAGTGTAATGATGTAAGGCTGAAATCTTCTTGGAGTTTATGTAAGGTTTGTGTAACTTTCAATGGCCTAATACAATTATGCTGAGGCACATCTCGGTTGCAGAACTGGCTGTGTGACCAGACTCATAACTGAAACAAACCGGGATGCCTTATCAATTAACAACAATTGGTGTTGTTAAATTACGCAGACCTTATGTGAACACCAAAAGGATTCCAGTCATTGGTTTTTCCCCCTATATACATTTTAGTTAATCTTGTGTGCTGCCCTGGTTCCTACTGAGGGACATAAGAAAATAAAAGAAAAGAAAAATGGGAGGGGAAATGAAAAAACATTAAGGTCCTTCCTTTTTCATGTTATTACATAACAACTAGCTGGAATATTGGGGGCATAAGACAAATGTGTATGTGTCAAAACTTCCAGGAACAGCAACATAAATGTCGTATATACTTGTGGATAATTGTGTTTTGGACAAAGGCATTTGGCGTACAACAAATCAGAGGATATATATAGATATATCTGTCTTCTTTTTTTCCCTGTGGAACAGAAGGTTCAATAGGCAGTGATCGTGGGAGCATGATTGAAAGTGAAGGAAAAGATGAGGAGGTAAGAAGACAAATTTTCTCTTAATCAACTTTTTTTGTTAACTTCAAACCAAAGCTACAGCAGTAATAGAAATAGAATTGGGGATTTATAGATCATTATGTTTGTTGACTCCATGCCTTGCCTTTGGTGTGTTAAAATGTCACAGGTGAACTACCTGAACATTCTTAATGCAGGTTGAATATTCTTAAGGTACTTTTAAAAAACACACAAAATGAATCTAGAACCTTATCATAATACTGCTAAGATACAGGATTGGAAACAGCAATGTAGATAATAATTATTGGGTCAAATATTGGGAATCTGTTCTTTGAGCCTACTGTACTAGTATGGCGTGGTTAGAGTGACAGACTAGGTGTTGCAAGGCTTGGGTTCAAATCTTTGCCGAGCCATAGAAACTCACGGGAGGGTGGGGGTGGCTAGTGGTATGGTAAAACCACTCCTTAAATATCTCACATACTTTGAAAACCCTGTTAATAGTCTCCATAAGTCAGATGCAGCTTGACAGCATATAGTAACAAAAACTCCTTAGTAAACAATTCTGGAAAGAAAAGCAAGGGAGACCCTCCCCCCCACCACCACCTGTTCAATTTAAAATAAATGCTGATCTGTGGTCTTAATTTTCTCCCCTTTTCAACCATAATTTTTAAAATTAAACTGTGAAGGTTATTTTCTCTCCTTCAGAATTTTCCTGGTTTTTGGAATGTGAGACAACCATCAATGTTGGGAAAAGAATATCAGTGTTTACTGAATGACTTAAAGTAACATTTGTTTTTTAAAAGCCACATTATAAACAGCCAGAGCGACTAGTCATCAGCCGTTATCAGATTCCATTCAGGAATATCTGAATGTTTTCACATGTCTGCTGTCTTATACAGACTCCCTATGAAAGACAACTGCCAAGGAATTCATTTGTGGTCTTAGAAGATAATGTGCTCTTTTTATTTAATTTCTCCTGGATATTTCTTTGATTTTTATTACTTAACAGTTGCAGAGAAAAATCTCCTTTTCTAAGGTTTATTTAGCACACAAGCAAGCATATAGAAAAATTCAAAGTAGCAGATACACATTGGTATAAGATATATAAAAATGAATGAATATCTATTTCAAAACCTTTAGTATTCTAATACAAAGTCTTAGTTCATATGTGTCGACAGGATTCTTAATTTTTAGAGAATAATATGATTTACTAAGCTTATATCTATTGGACCTCTCAACCATAACTATCTTATGGTAGAACAACTGTATGATGTGATTAATGCTGGCTGAATAGATATCACCACAGCGCAAATTTCTGTCTTGGATTTGCTGTAGTATAAAAAACAATTTACTTGTTATTTTTATTCTTTTAGAAAACAGTACTGATAAGTGATGAAGAAGATTACCTTTTTGGTGACTCTGAAAAGGGAGAGGAGGAGGAGGAGGAAGAAGAAGAAGAAGGTGACCTAGAAGTAAATGCAAAACCGGTAAGAAATTATTGGTAATTTAATCATGGAAACAGTTCCCAACTTGAAATAACGTGTAGCCATTGCATGATACTAGAAAAGGTGATGTTGTTTATATGCCAGTAATAAAAACATAAAAACCCCATACAGTTTGTGAGCTTTTGTGGGTAAATCCCACTTTTTCAAAGTAAGTACCAAAAATCCAAATGTTTGTGGCAAAATGAGGTTTGCCAGGAGTTGACTCTTAGATGTAGAGTTCTTGGCAAGATGAATTTCACCAGGCACATCTGTCTTAGATGAGGCAGGAAGCAGTGGTTGTTCTAAAGTTATGGCTGAGGCAGTTGTGGGTTGGATTTCACACTCTAGTTCTTCAAAGGGGCACAGGTCCTGCACGCACGCACGCACGCACACACACACCTCCTCTCCGTTTGGCTCTTCTTTGAAACAATCAAGTTTTTGTTTGGCCAGGGGTGATGCAGAAAACCCATGTCCCCCATCTGGGAAGTGGGGTACAATTTATTAAACCCAAGCCAGTAGCCTTGGCCAAGTTGATTGAACAGTCTGCTGTTGAAAGTGTAAGAACACTTGGTTGTTTTTCACTTGGCCCAAAACAGCCCCACGTTTAGTAAACCTGCAGCTAACCTTTGACTTCAGCTTGTCTCCAAGTTAAACATACAGAGGATTGCCATTTGGAATATTATCTGATAGTGCTGCTAAGTGTTTCAGGCCTGTTTATTTATGACTAGAAAGGAAGAGGCTTGCTTGCTTATTTCTGAGTGAGTTACATGGTGTGGATATCAAAATGTGACCTCATTCACAGGTGGCCCACAGCTTCCATTCTCAGATTGGGGTTTAACTCCTTCTCTGAAAAATGTTCCCTGTTCTGGAATAGGGCAAGGGTACAGCCATGTATTATGCAACTGAGAATCAGGACTAGATTTCTAACACATTAAATAAGAATTGATAAACTACGCTGTCATACTTGTATGTTGTTCTAGAAAGCAAATGCGTCTAAATAAATATTAATTGTTTTTTATTACATCTAGGAAGGATATATGGTACTCAGAGGGCCAGATCTGTGAATCCTACTCTGGATGTTTTTCCTTGGAAAAATGAGTGGGATTTTATTTATTTATTTAATTTATACCCCGCCCATCTAGACCAACTACTCTGAGTGGCTAACAGCAATCCAAATAATAACAAATATAAAATAAAACAATAAGAATTTGTCCCCCTGAAAAGATACTCTTATGCTCTCTAGTGACAAGAATTAAACTGGTAATTTTTGGAGGTGCGGGAAAAGGTCCAGAGTGTTTGGAAGCTCTCAGAATAGGGCAAATGTCCCTTTATGCACCCAGAGGGCATGATGCGGCCTTTCTGAGGAAACTTTTTTTAAAAAGCTGGGTGCTGGGGGGCTCATTGATGTTTGTGGGGCCACAGGCAGCCTGTGGATCAATATTACTTGCCCGGTGTGTGCAAATAATGACTTGTGTCTTCCCATACTTTTGGAGGCAGAACTAAAATCACAGAAGACAAAAAAATGTATGGGCAAGCTTGGGGTAAGCCTGGTGTAGAAAATCTGCAAAAAAACTGAGAGGGCAGATAACACCGTAATAACCCCATAAGAGCTTGTTATCACAGGACACTTGAGGGAGATGAAAAAAATTGATAAGAGGAGGAATTAAGTGGCTGGAAAGGGAAGAGTATGGGGAAAAAACACTAAAAGACAAAAGAATTTTTTCTTTGTCTGAATAAGTACAATATCATTCAAACTGAGAAGTTACCAGGGGTGAAAAATAGAGATGCCTGGAACTACTGAAGGAGAAATCAAATAACTGTACATAACTGGAATTATGCAGAAGTGTGCCAACCCAGTTCCCCCACATGTGGGGAAAAACTAAAAACAGGCTAGTCCAGCCCAGCAAGAACTGAGTGTGCTTGATGGGCATGCAGTGTTGACTGCTATAGAAGTGGGGAAAGACTAGTGGCAATGTCTGCAGTCCTTAACTGAATTGTTTTTGTTGCACAGCTGCTCTTGCACAGAATATTGCTCGGTTTTGTTTTTTTCTTGCAGTTCTTTTAGGAAACAGTAGCTTTCTGTACACCCAAGTGCTATATCTCTACAAACCTGTTTCCTTCTGAGTGTTTCCTAAAAGAGGTCTTGAATGTTTCTTATAATGCTTTTGTTGATCCTCCAACTTAGTGTCCCATTTTACTCCATGTATTTCGCCCCTGGAAGATGAAACAGACATGCTCATCACTCTGTTATTTTGTATAAGGCTTTCATTTTCATCTTATGTTTTCAGTATGAAATTTGCCAAATCGAGCAACCAAATTGAAACTAAGTATGTGTGTTTTTTCTCTTTGTAATTCTTTCTCACGTGGCTACTTCAGAAAAAGAAAAGGCCCACATCGTTTACAGATGAACTTGCAGCTCGTATTACCAAGGACGTGCTAGGTAAGCATCAAGAAGAATGGTTGCATAAGCCACTCCTCTGATTTATTTTTCCTTCTGTAGCAGTTTTATCTAATTGTTTATTACATTTGTATACTGCTTCTGTTAGTGGTAAAGACTATTCTGGGTGCTTTACATCCAAAATGAAATAAACAAGGCACAAAATCTAATTAGGGATGGTGAAAGATAACAGGGAACATACTATCAAACAAGGATAAAAAGTATAAACAGTATTTTAAAGAATTGTACAGAAGAAATGCAAAGATGACAGATTCCTTTGAAGAAGAATGCTGTGATAAAAAACCTATTTTAGAAAGTGAAGTAAAAGCTTCTTTCAAACCAGTTAGAAGTAAATTCATAAGAATGAATGTGATACTTATAAAACTGTTTCAAGCTACAGAGACTGAATCTTTCAGAATCTTAACATGAATATGCCAACAAATATGGAAAACAGTGTACTTTCCAATCCCCAAGAAAGGAGGTGCAGTAACTGTAGGATCATTGCATTAATTTCCCATGCAATCAAAGTGATGCTCAAGGTATTGGAACTAATACTTCTATCCTATACAGAATGAAAAATGCCTGATATTCAGACTCAATTATGAAATGGAGGAGACACAATTGCAAATACTGTATATATATACACTGACTACTGGAAGATGCAAAAAAATGTTTTTAAATTACCAAGTCTGCTTTATAGACCACTACAGCAAAGCTCTTAACTGTGTGGCTCATGAAAAGCTTTCTTGTTTTGAAAGAAATTGTGTGCTGCAATACTTGATTGTTCTGATGCGTAACCTAGACAGGAAGCTACTGCTAGGAGGCAGTATATTACAGGGACACCAAATGATTTCCCATAGGCAAAAGTGTCAGGCAAGGATGTGTTTTCTCTCTGTGTGTTCAATTTTTAAGCAAAATATATCATATGGAAAACTAGGTTAGATATAGATAATGGAGTAAAAATTTATGGCAGAAACATCACTAATGTAAAATATGAAGATGGCCGAAAGCAACAATGAAATAACTCCTGTTGAAGATGAACAGAAGAGTAGGCTGCAGTTGATTATTAAGTAGATAAAAATCTTGACCACATAAGAAATACACAACTTTAATGTTGGCAATGAAGAAATTTAAATTGTTAAAAGATTTTCCATACCTTGGTTCAATAAATATGGAGACAAATCAGAAGAAAAATGAGACTATGAGAAAATGAGAAAGATCTTCAGGTGTAAGGATGAGTCACTGGAGATCAAAATCAAGATCATTGACAATATTGTATTCCTAGTTACTATGTACAGATGAGAAAGCTGGATATTGAAGACAGACAACAGGAAAAAGAGCTTTGTTTGAAATGTGGTGCTGAAGGAAAGCTACCAGAAATACAAACAAGGGTTTTCTAAATCAAATCAAGCCTGCTTTCTCTGTAGAGGGAAAGATGATGAAACTGAGATTGTTGTTCTTTGGTTACATCACTAGTTCTTAACCTTGGGTTACTCAGGAGTTTTGGACTGCAACTCCTAGAAGCCTTCACCACCAGCTGTGCTGACTGGGGTTTCTGGGAGTTGCAGTTCAAAAGCATTTGAGTAACAAAGGTTAAGAACCACTGGGTTACATCATGAGAATACAAAGCTTGCTGAATAAGACAATAATATTAGGAAAAGCTGAAGGTAGCAGAAAAAGATGAAGCCCAAATATGGGATCGATTGACTCCATAAAGGAAGCTATGGCTTTGAATTTGGCAGAGATAAACAGGGCTGTTAATGATAAAACATTTTCGAGGCTACTCATTCATATGGTTGCCATGGGTTAGAGGTGATTTGATGGCACATAGTAAAAGTAAGGACTAGCAGTTGGATTAGGCCTTAATCTTTAAACCTGAGACTCTGGAGGCAATCTCTCAAGAAGGGGCAAGGAGCTTTCACATACTGGTCAGCTGGATTGGGTGCTTCTTTTACACGGAAGCTGCTGTTGATGGGGTATTGGCCAAAAAAATAATCATTAAGTGACGAGAATAATTCAGACCTGAAAAACTCGCTCCTGTCTCAATTTTAAATGTTTTTTTTAAAATGGACAAATATGGCTCTAAATATGTTGTTACATGTTGAATGTAATAGAAAAAAGAAAAGTTTCATCATGTATTACACTTTTCTACTTAAATCATTAGCAGATGGTAAAAGTAAGATGACGGTGACAGAGAAGGAAGAAGTTAATGTTTCATCAGACGGTATGTATTGCTCTTTATGTGCTAAGTTTTCTTTGAAAGGCTAGTGGAGGAATGATACAGTCATCACTGAGTCAATCCTGTTCCAAATTTTGTGGGCTATCTTCTGTTTTATAGCTCTATCTGCATAACAGAAGAGCTGTTACTGGCTGTGGCAGATTTCTGCTAAATAGACTTCATTTTTCAAGTGCACACTTCATCACAGAAGTCATGTGCTCCCTGACATTGAAAAAGGATCTATTTTATTAGTAGCAATCTGGTGCAGTTGGTGATGTCATTCTTGTTGCACAGATAGAGCTATAGAATACTAGCCTTAATGTCCCAGACAGTGGAACTTCCTCCCATAGGAGGCCAGGCTAGCCCCATCTTTGTTGTCCTGCTGCAAGCAGATGAAGACCTTTCTCTTCATGCAGGCTTTCCTTTAAAATATCCACAGTTGTATTCTGGAGAATCTAAGGTGGGACCTTACAGTACCACACTTTAAATGCCTGGTTGACAAAAGGGTTTTTTTTTTTTTTTGGAAGATACTATTTTATTATGTTGTTTTACTTGACTTTTTGTTACTGGTCTTATTTATGAGTTCTAATATATCTATTTAATGTTTTTTAAATATTGTAATAATTTATTATTTAGGTTTTAACTTTGTTTATTTTAATACACAAAACTGCCTTGGATCCTTAAGGAGAAAGGCAATATATAAATACTTCAATAAATAAATGAATAAAAAAAGAAAGAAAGAAAGAAAGAAAGAAAGAAAGAAAGAAAGGTCTTGGTGAATAATATGGTTGCTCAGAAGTGCCTGCTTTCTCTTGTTACTATGTGAAGAAAAGGACACACAGATAAGTTTGTTTAATGTTTGTGTATCTTTTTGTTGTCCACTATCTCTGGTGGACAACTAGAGAACCATATCTGTTGGTTCTTTTTAGCTTTAAAGTAATTTCTTCCTATGTGGAGTCCTCCTTTTCTGCATTGTTCCATTGCTACACATTGCACGTATGAGGAACTGAGAAACTACAAAAGAACGTGACACCAAAATTTGTTTTATGAATGGAATGAAATTGACTTTGCAGTATGAATCCCCATCTGTCAACCTATCCATCCAACTGCACATCCAGAATTGGGTATGGTTCCATTTGCCATTTTAATATGGAATATCAAAGTGTGGGGATTAGAGCTATAAAATTTCCAGAAATATGGAAGCTGTAGGAACAAAAGATTTTCTCTCACATTTTCCAGGAAGAGGAGAGAAATGGTGCTGGTGGTGAGTTACACAGTACTGTTTTGTCTAGGATAGATGGCCAACAAACTCACAATTGACTTCTTCACTCCTATAAAAAGTAGACATGTGTATTTCTTGTCTTTGTAGATGATGACATTTTCAAGCCTCCCAAGTTGACTGACGAAGACTTCTTACCATTTGCATCTAAAGGGGGTCTCTTCAGTGGTGGAAAAGGACTCTTTGATGATGAAGAGGTTGGTACATGATTAAGATCCTTGCACAGAATGGTGCTAGAAGTCATCCAAGAGACAGCATCTTGTTTTTTTGGATGGCATTCTAAATGGCTGCCAATATATCTGTAGTATTTGAGCTGGGAGAATATTGTCTGAAAGTCAATTAATTCTGTTCGATTCATTAGCTGGAATGTTGTTCCCCATCTTTGAATGGGGTATTGGTTGCACAATGGGCTGTGCGACAGATGTCATGCCAACAGAGACTGGGGGGTGCTTGCAGAATTACCCTTCTGTGTAGAGTTTCCCTAACATGGATTCTAGCTTCCTTAGCTGGAATATCTGCAGCTTCTGGCTATCTCTTGTGTGCCACTGTTGTCTTTGGTTGATGCAGTCATTTGCATTGGAACCCTATTTTAAATGACACAAAAATGCTTTGATTTTTGGAAGGACCAGAATGTTAGCTGAAGGGCACTCAGTTAAAAGACAATGCAAAGGTCACCTATTCCTTTTGATTTTTTGCATGCTGAGAATATGTAAAAGTGCTTACAGCTTCATAATTCTTTTATACAGTACTTAGTGATTGGTTCATGTTATGTTTGAGTATCTGGTGGTAGAGTTGTTCTACCAATGTAGGCAGACATTTTCATTGTGCTTCAGGAGGAAGAAAAGACAAGAATTAAATAACAGGGAATGTGTGGTTGTCCTAGATCAGGTGTAGACAATGTGGTGACACCTGGATGTTTCAGACTGTAATCCCCACAAAGCTCAACCACCATGGAATATGGGTGCTGTAGTCCAAAATATCTAGAGGGCACTAGGTTGCCCAACTCTGCCTGAAAAACTAATCTCAAATGCAAGTGTTGGGCATTTCCTCTCTGCAGCTGATGCAGTCTTCTTTTTTGGAATTAGATGTGGGATATACGTATACTGAAAGTTGGTAGTTCTTAACAGTTGTTTGCTTCCCAGCAGTAGTAGATCACTCCTAGAGTCCTATCCTTATCTTGGCCTCCCTTGACAACTGAACTTTCTTCCCTTAGGTGGCATTGTCATGGCCACCTGAGAATTCCGTTCTGCGATTATATAAAGTTATATAAACTAATATAAACTAATAAACTAACACAATGTCTTTATGAGTTAATTAAAATTTAAATAAATAAGCCTACTGGTTGGTTTTGCTTCTATAAATGCAATGGCAGTGTGAATCGCAGCAGCAAATTGCCACTGATGAATGAGTTGCCACTTGTATCCTTCATTGTTACCAATTCAAATAGTGGCAAGTTGTTAACTTGCAGCAGTTCTAGCCATTGCGCTTATGCCACTGCAACTAGCCAGAAAAATTCTGGGATAGCAGTACCGTAATATTATTTATTCTTGGAAACCTAATCAATTGCCAAAAAGGAAAATGACTGTTTGCTAGTATATGTTGTCATGAAATATATTTATGCAAATTCAGTTTTATTGGGTCTTGGTCTGTTCTTATGTCTTTTGCATGTAAACTTTTTGGTTCATGCAATAACAGTTCAAAAATGGCACATTTAATCTGTGTTTTCAACCAGAGTGACCTTTTTGCTGAAGCTCCGAAAGGGGAAGATTTGCTGGAAAAAGAAACAAGAATCCCTATAAATGATGGTAAGGATTTTTAGAAGCGGGAACAGACTGAATTTTGAAGATTTGCCCTGTGTGATGGACAAATACTGACTATGCAAGTGTATTCTCTGTATATAGGTATATACAATATCTCTATATAGGTACATATAAAATTATATATAAATTATGTGTTGTGCATGCTAGAGTCTATGGAGTGTTGGTCCTGGTTTTTGTATAGAATTTGCTGGTTGAAATCTTTTTCTCTGTGTTATGTCAGGTAAGGTTGCTATCAGCCACAACCATTTTTCAAAGATCAAACATTTCTGACCTCCCTACCCTACTGGGATCCTATGGAAACCCTTTTGTTGTCGGGAATTTGGTAGGGGCTGCTGGATGGAGTAGTGGGAGCACTCTGTTCATGACTGCAAATACGTGTTTTCAAGCAGTTGCATCTAGTGTTCGTTTAAAAAAAGAGAGAGCCAGTTGAGCAGCAAAGGATAACCTGGACTTACAGCAATTCAGGCTGAAGAAAACACACCTAGAACAGAGAAGCATGTGTGATGGACAGACAGAGTTAGGCTGAAGTTGTTTCCATTGACAACGTAGCTTCTACTGGCAAGTCTTACTCCTAAAAGCATTCAAATCTATGTTGTCTGTCTGTCATTTGAAGCAGTACGTTAATTTATAATCCCCAGACAAGTCAGAAATATGATGGCAGTGGGTGTTACAAGGTAGAACCATCCCAGTGGAAATAATTTTTGGTAATTAAACACTGATTTGGTAGTGAATATGGATGTTGCAAGGAGAACAGTATTTCATAGATATACAGTCAATTAGCTGGTGTTATGTTTTAGTGTTATGTGTTTGTAATGAGTAGGAGTTGTGAGGATGCAAATCCTGATATACATTTCAATGCATGTTATCTTATATGCCTGGCATCATCATACTTTTTTATTAGTTAGAGGTTCAAAGAGCATTCCAGACTGTGGATTGCTAGTTCCTGAATGCAAGCTTGAGAAAATAGTTAAGAAGAGATCTATCCAGCCCAGGATTTGGCAGTGGTTTTCCAGAAAGATAGAAAGATATTAGGCGGGAATTTTCCCGCCCTGCCGGCAAATGGCAGCGGCTGAAATTACTGATGAGTGCAAAGTGATCCAGAGTGCAGGTCAGATTCAATGCTTATCTGTGGGAGTTCAGACCCTTCACATGAGAAGCAGAAATGGGGAAGCACAGGGTTGTGGTATCAGCCAGGAAGGCAAATGTGAGAACGAGAGGAGCTAGCTATTCATCTGTATGCCCTTAGATTCCCCCCCCAAAAAAAGTGCTGCTTCTTATATGTCAGAATTAATTTTGTGAGAAAACTCTTTGGATTTTCTGTTCTTTAGAGCCATCATCGAAAGCTATGAGAAAAGTTCCTGCTGGAGCAGTTTCTCTCTTTCCAGGTATGAATAATTTAGAGTTGATGAAAAATGCTTTTGTAATGTTAAATATTCAAGTCAGTGTGTCTCCCACATATTTGCCATATAGTTTTTGAGCATTGTAGACATTTGCAGGCATCTTCATGGGCAACTTCCACTCCAGAACCTGGAATCTGATATTCTCATTCAAAATCCTTTGTTTTGATGATGGATTCCCCTGAACAAAGAAGTCAGTGCTTGCTGTTATTTTATTAATTATACCATTTCTGCTTATTTACTTTTACTCATTGTATTCACTGCCACTCAGTACTACCTAAAAGAGGGATACAATAGGACCCCCATATCCACTGAGGATTGGTTCCAAACTCCCACCTCACCCCAACAGATACTGAAAACTGCAGTGAGAAGTGAGAGAGATCTTTAGAGTTAAAATCCAGACTGCAAATAAGCCAAACACATCCTGATGAAGACTGAGCATACTGAGTGGCCATGGAAGGCTGACAGTGGGGAGAGAGTAGGAGTACAATGCACTCTATAGACCCTTGAATGGTGTTGTGAGTCAACAATTTGTTGCAGGACCATTTGTAAGTTTTTGTAATTTCAGAAGTCCATCTTGTCTTTCTAACGGTTCTTTCAAACCTTATTTTTTAAAATTTCAAACCTTATTGTTCTTCTTCGTGGCCTCTGTTTGCAAATGGGTTAGACTGCGCCTGCGTGGGATTCCTCGGAATCTTCTAGAGCTTAAAAATATGTGATTAGTAGAACGTTTCTCTGTGGTGCACATGCTCCGCCACCCTGTAATACCTCAGTTCTTTCTTGCCGCCACTGAGATCGGACTCTTTTGCAACGTTTAGAGCTGTTTGGAATTGTTACCTATTTCACGGTTTTCCGATTTTGGTCTGGTTTCCTGAATACCGTTTGTGTTTCTGGAGTACTTTGACATTTGGACTGGCTTTGTTTATGATTGTGATTGTCGGAGATGTTGGTGGTTATCAAGGCTTTCCGCGCTTTTTTTCCTCTCGTGGTTGGTTGTGGAGTACAGGTGGCCATGGACAACATGACCACTCTGTATTACATCAACAAGCAGGAGGGGCACCCACTCTTTGTCTCTTCTGTATTTAGCGATTCACCTTTGGGAATGGTGCTATGACCACCATATTTTTCCAGTCACCATTCACGTGTCTACAGAGGACAACAATGGGGCCGATTATCTGAGCCGTCTTACCACTCAGACTCACAAGTGAGTTCTCGATAACTCGATATTCTCCCATATCTGCGATTGGTGGGGAATACCAGCTATCAACAGATTTGCCACCCAGGCCAATTTGAAGTGCAGTAGGTATTGCTCTCAAGCAGGGAGAGGCAAGGATTCTTTGGACGATGCCTTCATGGTGAGCTGGGATGATGTCCTCCTTTATCTCCCCCCCCCCATTCCACTCATTCAATGAACAGTCGTCAGGACCCATCACTTACAAGCCAGTGCCATCTTGATAGCCCCATGGTGGCCTCGTCAGCCATGGTTCACCACCCTCAGAACCATCTCCTTCAAGTTTCTGAGATTACCTCTCCAACTATTTCTTCTAACTCAGGACGGAGGCAATATCTGTCATCCCGACCTGGAGTCACTTCACCTGACAGTGTGGAGGATTCTCTCAATGTAAAAGAAATATTGGACAGAGCTAGAAAACTTTCTACAAAATTGCTATACTCTTATAAATGGTCTGTTTTCACCAAAGTTACTTCTTCCAGAAGTCTTCTGGCTGTTCCAGTTTTGTTGGATACTCTCCTCATTTTCTTCTGTTATCCGTTTGATCGAGGTCTGGCCTACTGGATGTTAAAAGTTTGTATTTCCGCTATTGTTTCTTATCAGCCTTTAGGTTCAGAAGCTTCCCACTTATTTTCACACCCGAATTTAAAGTAGTTCCTTAGGGGTTTGCATAATATGCGCCCACCTGTCCAGCCTTCACTCCCTCAATGGTCTCTCCAGGTCGTTTTATGGGCTCTTGCTCGCCCACCGTTCGAGCCCATGGCTTCTGCTCATCTTAAACTTCTCTTGATTAAGACTTTGTTTCTCATGGCTATTACTTCCGCATGGAGAGCCAGCAAGTTGGCTGCCCTTCGGGCTGATGTCCCTCATACACAGTTTCACCTGGACAAAGTTGTCTTATTTTTCTCCCTAAAATGGTTTCGAGTTTCCACATTAATCAACCTCTGATTCTCCTGATGTTATTTCCTAAATGGATTCCTGATGTTGAGCACATGCTCCATTCCTTGGATGTTCGACGTGCCTTGGCTTTTTACATTTCCAGAACTAAGGACTTCCATACTTCTCCTAAACTATTTGTCTGCTTCCATGGCCCACGAAAAGGCACTCGGCCTCTCCACAAATGGTTTCCAGGTGGATCGTTTCTACTGTCACTTTGGCCTATGAACTGGCTGGCATTGAAGGCACACTCCACAAGAGCTATGGCTACTTTGACTGGTCACGTGGAATTGAAGTCCCTGACATTTGTCGAGCGGCCACATGGTCTGCATCATCTACCTTTGTGGTGCATTTGGACATCAGGGCCAAAAAAGGAAGCAAGTTTTAGAAGGGCTGTGGTGACTTCAGTGTTGGCATGACAGCCCTCCTTCTGGTAAGTGAGCTTGCTAGTCACCCATTTGTGTGCATTCACAGAGGCCATGAAGAAGAAAGAGAGGTTACTTACCTGTAAGCATAGTTCTTCGAGTGGTCCTCTGTGAATGCACACATCCCGCCCATCCTTCCCGCTGTCCGTCACTCGGTGTCTTGAGCTTGGTTACAGTTAGAGCCTTCACAGCGGCAGACATTTTGGAACTGAGGTATTAGGGACGGGCGGAGCATGCATTCCATGGGAAACTTCTAATCACATGTTTTTAAGCTCTAGAAGATTCCGAGCACAGGCGCAGTCTAACCCATTTATGTAGATTCACAGAAGACCACCCGAAGAACTATGCTTACAGGTAAGTAACCTTTCTTTCCTTGCAGTTGGACACCTGAAGTCCAGATGTTGCCCTTACCTTGTCTTAGATTTGCATCTGATAGTGACAGAAATGGTTTAGAACTGAAACAGCACGTAATTGGCTGTCTCAGTAGCTGTAGAAAATCTGGTTAAATATTAAGTGACGACATCTTTTCCTCCATTTATAGGTAGAAATGATGTGTTTAGCCCCTCATTTATAACAGAGAAAGAGAATAAGGAACCCATAGAACCAATTGCAGATAAAGTCTCAAAATTGCATGAAAATTCTGGCCTCTTTGGTGGTGATGATGATGACCACTTCAAATCAAACAAGGAAAGTTCCATTCCAGGTAAGCTTCTAAATTAAATTACTTCTGTTTCCTTCTCCTCGGTCTCTCCTATCAAATAATCTGAATCTTCCTGAATAGTATACTTAGACTTCAGTAAGGCATTTGATAAAGTAGACCACAACCTACTTCTCCGTAAGATACTACAAAGATGGATAGACAGCTCAACTTCCAGATGGATTTGCAGCTGGCTGACCAACCACACTCAACGTGTGGTCCTCTGTGGAACCACATCTACAGGGAAGATGGACATCAATTTATTCTCCGTTGCACCTGAGGGTAGTACAAGAACCAATGGGTGGAAACCGTCAGAGGGAGATCCAATCTGGAAATAAGGAGTTTCCTGATGGTGAGAACCATTAAGCAGTGGAACAGCTTGCCTCCCGATGCTGTGGGTGCCCCATCACTGGAAATTTTCATTAAAAAATTGGACAGCCATGTGTCCGGTATGGTATGAGATCTCCTGCTTTGGGCAGGGGGTTGGACTAGAAGACCTCCAAGGTCCCTTCCAACCCTACAATGATTCTGTGATTCTTTGGAACAGTAGAATAAAGCGATGGGGAAGGTTTCACCAATAACATTGCATGATGAGCCGCTGTTAAAAGGTCCATGAGAAGAGACTACTGAGTGGCATCTTCAAATATTTGAAAAGCTGTAATGTGGAACTTGGAGCAAGTTTATTTTCTGTGGCTGAAGGGGATAGGACCTGAGCCAATGCACTTGAATGTACTTTATTTATATCCCATTTTTTGTTCCTTTATAGGAAGAAAGGTGGGATATAAATGAATAAATAAAAAGATATTTTGCCTGGATATAGGGGCAACTTCCTGGCAGTAAGAGCTGTGGAATAGACTAGCTTAGATCCACCACTGATAGCCATCCAGCTCCAAAGCAGTAGTTAAGCTGGAAATCACAGCATATGACATTGTATTGTATCTGTATTACCCAGATAACATATCTATTAAGTCTGCATCAATTCTCTGGCATTTTGGAGCTTGGATGAACATAGAAATCCTCAAGAAAACATTCAGAATCCAAAGAGTTTTATGAATGGAATTCATGATGGTTGCTGTATGCACTTTAAAATGTGAAACACACAAGTAGCACCAGATTCTTTACAGAGTAGGAAGATTTTCTCTTTGTTCTGTTGATTCATATGTGCCTAGTATTATGTCTATATATCTGTGTGCATGCATGTGTGCGCATATACTTTTTAAGCTTTACTACCAGTGTTTGAAAGGACGTGGTGGTGCTGCAGGTTAAACCGCAGAAGCCTCTGTACTGCAAGGTCTGAACACCAGCAGTTGTAAGATCGAATCCACGCAACAGAGTGAGCTCCTGTCACTTGTCCCAGGTCCTGCCAACCTAGCAGTTCGAAAGCATGTAAAAATGCAAGTAGATAAATGGGTACCACCCCGGTGGGAAGGTAATGGCGTTCCATGTCTAGTCACGCTGGCCACGTGATCATGGAAATGGTCTGCGGATGAACGCTGGCTCTACGGCTTGGAAAATATGGACGAACGCTGGCTCTACGCCTTGGAAACGGGGATTACCACCGCGCCCTAGAGTCGGACACAACTGGGCTAAATGTCAAGGAGAACCTTTACCTTTACCAGTTTTTGAAAGGTGACTTCTAACAGAGCTGGTAATTATTCCTTAAGTTAAAATATATATTTTGCTCTTAAACAGCCAAACCTGCAACTGATCTCTTTGATGCTGAGGGGGATCTATTCAAGGAAAGGCCTGATGTTACCAGTGTTACCAATGAAGCAGTTAAAGAAGCTAGAGGAAAGAAAGAACTGATAACAGGAGACAAGGTAATCAAACAGAGTTGGTTATAGAATGGTAGGTACTCAGAGTGCTTATCAATGACTCCTTCTCAAACTGGGAGGAGGTAACAAGTGGGGTATCACAAGGCTCAGTTCTGGGTGCTCTTCAGTGCTTTTATTAGTGACTTGGATGAAAGTCTGCAGAGAATGCTTATCAGATTTCCAGATGAGCCAAAATTGGGTGGAATAGCTATGTAATACCCTGGAAGACAGAAATAAAATTCAAAAAGATCTTGATAGAAACAACCACTGGGTTGGAAACAACAGAATAAAGATTAACAGTGATAAGTGCAAAGCAATTCATCTAGGAAAAACAAACCAAATGCACACTTACAAGATGGGGGATACATGGCTTTTTAATGCTACATGTGATCACAAGCTGAATATGAGCCAGCATTGCAATGTGGTTGCAAAAAGGGCAAATGCTCCTTTAGGCTGCATTAACAGATGTATAGTCTCCAAATCCTGTGAAGTACTAGTCCCTGCCTCTATTCAGCAATGGTTAGACCTCATCTAAAATACTATGTCCAGTTCTGGACACCGCACTGTAAGAAGACTCTCTCAATGAGAGACTGAGATCATCTTGGCTGTGGGTTACAGAGTGGATACACTATCAGCCAAGAAGAGAGGTTTTTGTGGTCACCACTTTATTCCACTGCAGAGCCTGTCACATTGGCTTCAGAAGGGTTTTCACTAGGAATCGGCAAGCCTTTCCCCCATTTTAAAGCCTCCTACAGTTCAAAGGAAGCCTTGGTATGGGGCGGTTGGGGAAGGGGCAGGATTCCTGCCCAAACTCTGAGAATTGGAAGGTTCCAGAACAGAGCTTTGCACAGGTGCAGCACAAACACCCCATGTGTGAATGTGTACGGTAAGGTTTGTTGAAGAGTACAAATTCTGCAGAATTGGAGATGAACGGAGATTGCTTGCTCAGATCAATTCATCTCAGAAAGAAATTGTATAAGCGTACAGAGGACTTAGTTCATAACAAAGCTGAGATTATAGGATCAAGAAGTTCCAGTTCACATAGAACAGCTTGGTCTAAGAACTATACAGTGGTGCCTCGCTTAACGATGTTAATTGGTTC